ACACACACACACGGTACTGCATATGCAACACGTCCACTGTTTATCCTCTTGTTGTTATTGCAACCTTTTCTTATTACACAGTTGATACACACATTAACATCCACCAGGGGGAAAGCATTTAGTTTCATCTTTTTTTTCGTTCCATCTCATTGCCCCATTATGTGTTTGCCGGAGCTTCAACTGACCTGGTGAAGCTAAAGGGTGGTCAGCTACATGTAGCTGTCAAGAAAAAGAGAAATTAGTCAAATCCATAAAAAAAAAACAGATTTCAAAGTTATACTATATACTATACTATAAAATGAGCAGCTGTGGCAGTTTGAACTGTCGGTTCCCTGAGTTCACGGTAGAAATCTTGTTTCTCTTTTCTCTTGAACCATCTGTCGTCTCTGGAAACATTTTGTCAGTCACATACTGACAAAGAAGCCTTTTGGATGAAAAGAGAAACTTTATCATTGCAACTATAGCAAGTCCAGTTTCCTGCTCCTGAAGTCTGAAGATAATTGTCTTTGCATTAGTTGATTAATCACAACTGTGGGGTTTTTTTCATTCCATTTTGGAGGATGTACTCAAATTCCTATTTTGAGTTATTATTTCATTCTCCTCCACCTTCCGTTCCACAGTGCTGTTGACTTTTTTTGCTGGGAATTAGATAATAGGATTGATATTTGGCCAGTGGGCAACAGCACAGTGGCTGGAAAGATAGTGCTAGCCTGATCTGCCAAATGTGGAAAAAAAACTTTGCATAGACAGAAAAAAAACCACAATTGGTTTATTTATTCTCGCTCAAAAATCAGGACAAATTAAAGACAAATTAGGTGGTGATTGATTATTTCTATAAGAAACCCAGAAACTGCTCAAAACCAATTTGATCAAACACAGAAAATAATGGATTATTGTTTTCATCAGGTCCCTGAAGAGAAAAGAACAAAAAAGCATATATTTTCAAATTTTATTGTCCAAAGTGTTTCTTTAAGCCAACTTTGTGCTGCTTACTGTCTTCCTTCTGAAAAAAAAATGCTTGCTGCTTCACCTGAAAACCAGAGTCGATCTGTCAGCTGAAAGATTGGGGAGAATTTATAACTGACGCTCCCTGCTGTGCTGACTCGGCGCTTCCTTGTGGAGAGTGATGAGATCAGTCTAGCCGAGCTCCAAAACAGGACATATATTAGCTATAATATATTCCACATGAGTTGGCCGCCTAACTTACAACTCTGTTTCTATCTTTTTTTTCCCCAGCTGGCAACAGAAGGAGAGGAAGGGACTGAGCGTGGACGGATGACGATCTCGACCATGTCAAAGTAGAGAGAGGATCCAAACCCAAAGGTCGAGACCTTAAATGTCAGTGATTTCCATCATATTGTAAAAAGTATCAGGCGAACTGACAAATAAAAAAAGGTATTCACATAAACAATTTAATGGTGCTTTGAATGTATAGCTAACATGAAAGTGCAATGTCTGACAAAAAAAAAGAGGGTTTTTGGTTCGGTTTGTGTAAAGTGTGTTCAACTGAACGTTCTGGCAGAGCTTTTGAGGACAGAGCAAGTCGGGGTAGCAATAAAATCTGTTAATAAGCCATTAGGGTGACAGTAAAAGCGTTTCAATTCCAGAACTTTTCTATGGCTTTGCTAGATGGTGAATGTAAAAGCAAGATTTTATGAGCTGTTTGGGAGGAATTGTAAATCTCAGCATGGTACACTTTAAATGTTGTTTTCTGGCTTGTTTCGTTTGTTGTCATTTTTCTTCGGCTATAAGTTGCTCAAAGATGTGTGTAAATTTTTCTACACCATGTTACTTGGAACATTGTGTACAACTGCAGGCTCTCTGTTTTCTCCAAAACATCTTACAATAAAGTGCTTTCTTTGATACAAAAAGCCGTCGTGTAATGGTCCGTCTGAGTGGATGCTCGACCGCCTTTTGTTTAATCTGTCAGAAGGCAGGTCTGCTGTTCGACGCTGGTTCTGTGTGGAAATGAAAAGAAGTGGAAAGAAAGTCTGCAGTTCATTTTGACTTGAGAAAATGTAATTAACTTTTTTTATTGACGTTAAATGAATAACAGCGACAGTAAGTCACTTTTGAGCTGATGTTTGTAACAATACAGTGAGCGGAAATATTTGCCTGGAGGTGACATTGTGTGCTGGGACCATTGAATCAGACCCACCCTCACTGCTATTGCACTCATGTGCAACACATTATGGAGTTTTTGGATGAACTAAGGTATCTCAGCAAGCGCCAAAGCAGAAACAAAAACAGGACAAAATACAGATTCTTCTTCTACAGACGATACTTTAACTCTGTAAGTCAGTGCTCTACTGCGAATCCACCCTGAAGAGATTCTTTGTCGCATAAAAAGTATTTAATGAAATACTTTTCATGTGACAAAAAGCCCCTGAGTCATTTGTCATCAATATGTATGTATATATTTATACATATATACATATATGTATATATGTATATATTTATACATGTGTGTGTGTGTGTGTGTTTGTATGTGTGTGTACTAATTAATTGTGCATTCAGGTGGTCACAGCCGTCAATGAATGTGTTGTGTTCAGAATTTAAGGAAGAATAATTATGATTAATAATAATTAGTTATTATATATATGTATCAAATATATATATCTATATATATGAAAGGTAGTAGTGAGATCATTTAATCTAAAAGGTGCGTACATGTTTTGATACGATCACAGTGGCATTCATCACCTCCAGATTATCCCCGATACATTTCTATTCACAAGTTTCATATTTTGGTAATTCACCTCGATTCTTTAAAAAGTAACAAAAGCCGTTTTGTTAGTAATTCTAATGTAATTTTTGCAGCAGCTTTTTCATCTTTGTAACAAGGAATACTGTTGACTATATGAGGATGATGATGGTGATGACGTGAGGATGATGATGGTGATGACGTGAGGATGAACTTGTAGTGTGTCTGAACACATGAAAACTAAAATCTCTTAAGGCCGTATTAACATGGTAATTTATGTAAATATTATATTGTAGCCATGGAAACTGCCTGTTCAGCCTTGTGCAATTATATATAACAGAACTTTTTTTTTACACTAACAGTGGTTCCAAAAAGTTGAAACCATGGAAACATTTAATGACATACAGAGAATCATTAAGAAAGAAAACCCAAAAGATCTCAAAGTGACAAAAGGGTGAAATATTTTTGGAACAAGCTCAAGGAGTTTAGAAAAGCATCTGGCCTTTCAGTTCATCAGATATTTGCCAAAACTTTTTCAGAAGCAGTTCAAAAGTAAGGTTAACAACCAAAGAAGGATGAAGCAATGATATTACTAATGACTGTTGAACAGTAATATCTATATTAGCCAGGTGGGTAGAAATAGGTCGACTACAGGGCATAAATGAAATAGATTAGAAAAAAACATAATTAATATTATTTTATTAATTAGACAGAATAACTTTACACCAGTGGTTCTCTAACTTTTTCTACTCTGTACCACCTGAGAAAACACTGCGCTCTCTGAGTACCACCATGATGATTTATGAGGATTCATGATGTTTATACATGTTTATAAAGATGTTTATGTCTAGATGTTCTATTAATTGTGCATGGTATTATTACATTGAAAATGTAAATGTACCACTTGAGAGCGCTCATGTGCCACTGAAGGCACGCGTACCACAGTTTGAGAACCACTGCTCTATACCTCAGTGAAGGGAATATGTCATCTTGTCAGTACATGTATATCTGGTAAAAAAATAATAATGTTGCTATAAAATTATGTGCAATTCCCATGAAGCTATGCTGTAGTTATTTATCGCCTGCAAAGATGACAAAGAAGCAGTAAATCTGCTGAGGTGGGAGGAGTTCAAAGTTCACATGAGATTATCCTTATTTAGCGTTAGTGCAAGGAAGTGAGCTCCAGTTCCACTGACAGTGACATCAGTGTCACCTGCACGTCTTCAAACACAGAAAGGAAAAAAAAGAAAATGTTCAGCAGTGAATAATATGTCATACATTTAGAGCGCTGTCTGAGAATCGAGAAAACATCTGCCGGAGGATGCTGTTGAATTCTCATATGGCTTTGGCTTGTCCACACAGGACTTAGCAAAAAAACAATCCTCCCCCCCTCCCCGGATTTTTTTCCAAGTTTTCAACCAAACTTAAATATAAACCTGTTAAAATTTTGGAAGTTTCGCAAGAGGTTTCAATCTTGCTCCGACTTGATTACAGTCCTTACACGAGGCTGGTTGCGAACTGGTGCATGAAACATCCACTGGAATTTTACAAAGAAGAAATTATATGATAAATAAAAAACATTGCCGACGTGTTAAGAACTGTAGATATTTTGATTCGCCGGACTATCATAAACTGAAAAGTTTTGTTTTTGTAATATTTTAGTCTTATAATACCATGTTACGGTGATCATTAACTGGCAACCCTAGGGCCGAGTGCGGCTCACCTCGAATAATGACCGTATAAATATTTGAGTGTCCGGCCCTCAAGGTGTCTGTCCAAAATAATTCTGTTAGTTAATAACCCCTGCCAAAGAGACCAAAGGTTATCATGATGAAATTGTAACAAGGTTGTAAAAAATGAGGTAAAATATTAAAAAATATGACGCTGACAGTGACATGGTTGATTAAATAATCAGCACTCAGGAAGTCCACATCAGAGAAGGATGATGATGAAGAATGAGATATTGTTGTTACAGAATCCATGTAATCTTGGTGTGACCTGCACTTGCCAGAGTTCAGAGAACATCTTTGGTTCTGGTGTTAATCAGCCTCCATCAGTCACGTTAGAAGAGGAACTCTGTGTCTCTGTGAATGCCTTGAATGCAGCTGTGTGAAAGTAACTTGTTTTCTAGATTTACCGTCCTCCCCAAAGAACTGACACCTTCCTGGCTTCTGTAGCTGACTTGGACAGGTTCTCTGTGCAGTGCCATCATGTACAGACTCCATATGCACATAAGAGAAGGCATGTAACTGCAGAACCGTATAAAACGGTGAACAATTTCAAATTGAGTGACAGTTACGGGTAACAGAAGGTTATCAGAAGAGCCCAATCCTGCATCTCAGGCAGGAGCAATTTCACCTTCAGAAAATCTTTGCTAACCTGTAAACATGTTTTCACTTTACTCCATTCCTGGCACAGAGACACAAGCGATCGCAAATAGAGTCATTTTCATATAATTTTCAACTTATTTGTGAACTTTCTTTCAACCTGCACAACAACAATGTGGTTTCCTCTTTTCTAACTGGCTAACGGAGCACTCTGCCCATGAACAGTCCTATTAGTCTTTTTCTGAGAAGTGCATGGTGCGCACATCTGTTATCAGGTCTGTTATGTGAAGAGCTGTTAAATCATCATAAATGACACCGTTCGCTGCTTTATATCCCCTGTGCACATGATGCAGAGGCCTAGGATTCACCAGTCTGCACATCTGTTCTCTCTGTGTGTCCTTCCCTTCTTTTGACATGTACAAAGTCAAAGTGTTGTGCAACTGCAGAATTTCACAACTCATTTAGGAGACAGTCTCGCTGAGCTTTATTTGTTTATTTATTTTCGGTGAATCTTTCATTTTTTGCTTCAGAAACGTGTGTTTCAGAGAGTGTGAGTCCACACACTTTAGCTGACATGTCCAGAGAGTTCCAGAAATACCATGTCCTTCAAGTCCAAACTGGGTGAGATTTTAACAACAGTGAACACCTGGGACGTTCCACCTGGGACGTTCACTCTTGACGAGGGAGTGATCCTTAGAGTAACATCTGTTAACTAATTCCAAGAACTGGTTGAACATATTTTTGCGATAACAGTTATTTGGTCACGTATGCATGTAGAATCAATTGATTGAATGATTAATTATATTTTCACAATGCCTTCTTCTCAAGTTACCAAAAGCTAATGCAAGTTTAGTGTTTTAGTTTAGTGCTGAGTGGATTTTCAGAAAGCCACATTTTACATTATTGTAAGTAAGTGCCAGGCTCTAACGAACCACAAGAAGTCTTTGTGACTGAAATAAAATGCTGGAATAATAAAATTATTTTTATGTTTCAGTTTTAATTTGGTTCCCCTCTGTTCCCCAAAACTTTTATGTGGTTGGTCTGTATTTAGAAACGTGGTTATTGCCTTAATGCATTTCCGTCCATTTACCTATACGTACATGTTCTGCTGTGAAGGAAAAATAATGGATGAGTCCAGAGTTAAATTCCCAGAGAAACTACATATCTGTCATTGCACCTCCTGGGTGGCAGTTGTTAAATTGCAACCACGTACTGTAATGGCGCCTCCTGTGGTAGCCCGAGTTGGTTGCTGAGATTCACACTCTAACTTTCCCCACTGTGGGACCAATGAAGAACTCAGTTATTATTATGCAACGTTTATGGACGTTTCCTTGATGTGATGCATGTTTATCACAGCTCTATCATAGTTTCTGTGTGGGTGTTCAGAGCGAGCAGTCCAGTGTTTCCCAACTTTCTTCAGCCTCAGCCATGGCACATATTTACAAAATTTGTTTAAAAAATCCCACATTACAGCAACAACAAAACAATCTTCTGGCTTCAAGTCCCACATTACAGCAACAACAAAACAATGTTCTGGCTTCAAGCTGGGCCTATTTAGTTGAACACAATGCTACTGTTAGGTCTTCAAGAAAGTCACGCATCTTCTTCATCGTTTTTTTATAAACGTCTGCTGCCTCCTAGTGGACGAGTATTTGACCTGTATTTCTTTCACTGACACGTAGACAAACAAAGGCGAGTTATTGTGTTTTGTATAGTGTGGTCCTGATAATAATTCTTAAACATGCCAAGCTAACAAAAGAACTCCCGACCCCCGCGGTTGTTTCATCAGATATAAGCCAGTTATTTAGAAAACAGAAAATCACTTTTGAAGGGGTCTCCA